ATAATATACACATTTTGTAAATCTGCTGCTGTCTATTTGTAATAGCTGTCACTTCAACTTATTGGGGACATTAGTTGCAAATTGAAAAATATGGTCATTAGCAACCACTTAGTTTGCCCATTGCGGCATATTGCTAGAGCCATACATGGATGATTCCATGCAGTCTTTCCATTTTGATGTCATCATTTTGGCATCAATATGCATGCTTTACACAGATAAGTAGCCAAAAACTTAGTCCAATGTAAAGTACAAAGTTATCAGAGATTGATACATTAGTCATCTCTATATCAATATCCATTGATTTATCAAAATATGGTTCCATGTGCTTCAAAGCTGGTCAAGGAGTTGTCCTATTTTACCCAACTATGGTTGGACTGTCTGAGGTGACATGGTCTAACACCCACGGACCATAAAACTGACCTCATCAGATGGCTTTTGTCGCAAAAGACTGGATAGATACAAATCAATATTTGCTTCCTGCTGTATCTTTATTATATCAAAGCCTGTTACACAACTTCCTAATACTTTATTGACAGTATGGCCCTAATTTCCAAATTCAGCAGCAAAAATAAGTTCAGGTCTGATTCATCGCTTTCAAATTGATACAGTAGCCAATGAACCCATGCAGTCATCAATTGGTATGTCTTTCCTTACAAATTCTCAATGTGTAGGCCCAAACCTAGCAATCCACTACAGTTTTATTTGTATTTGTAACAAGAAGGTTGAGTCTAAAAACATGCTATCAACAATGTTGAACAAAGGATTGTTGTGCTTCGGCGCTGAAAAATTGTTTCTAATTGGTGACTTCAGTAAGGCAGGAAGGGATACAAACTTATGAGCCCAAAAGTCTAGCCCCAAGGGAAGTTGTTTGAAACTTCTATGGATTTATACCACATTCCCCTACACTAGTAGAATTTTTCTCTATATAAATGTATATGGGTCAATTTGACCCATGTTTGTAGGGAGAGGAATAGTGAACCTAAACCTGCTCACCCTCATGCACACGTGCAAAATTAAACATTCATTTTTATGTTGAAATCAAGCATTGTATGTGTAGGTACCATATCTAGAAGCTCAAAACAATTGGTCCAGTGGTTGACCGGTAATTAACTAAAATGTAGCACTGTCGGGTCAATTTGACCTGCCTTGTAGGGATAGTTAATTACTAATTAGGCCTATAAAAATTAGTAGGCCTAGGCTATTGTATTTAGTTTACTATTTATATTTAGCCTTTTAACTTTTAGGGCCTAGTAATACTAGTATTAGGGCCTATTAGTAATCTATCGTTTTAAGTTAGGGTAATCTATCTTTTTATGTACGTAAAATAGCCCGCAGCTAGTGATGTACGAAAAAGTTACCTCATTGTTAAGGCTTTAATAGAAGTAGATCTAGATCTATATTGTGATATATTGGTGTCAAATATTACAGATAAATGAATAATAAACCTAAATCAATGGCTAAATAATATCAATAAAATACTTAAAAAAAACTTTTTAAAAAAACACGTTTTTCTTGTGGACTAAAAAGTAGAAAATAACTATTTACATACATTTGATGACAAAAAACGTGGGTACGTTCACCATCAAATTTCCCGACCCATCTGCCTGACCCACGTTTTTTGTCATCAAATGTATGTAAATAGTTATTTTCTACTTTTTAGTCCACAAGAAAAACGTGGTTTTTTAAAAAGTTTTTTTTAAGTATTTTATTTTCTCCTTTTTAGTCCGTTGCTACACATGAAAAACGTGGTTTTTAAAAAAAGTTTTTTATATAGTTTATTTTCTACTTTATCCAATGACTTGATTAAGTATGACTTGACTAAGTGTTTATAAATACACGGACTAAAAATCTTGAGCGACCAGGATTCGAACCTGGGTTGTCGCGGCCACAACGCGAAGTACTAACCACTATACGATCACGGCCAGCGCGCTCACATCGATTGGGGCCGAAGTAACTGTGTCAATAGGCCTCCAGTCTTGTCGGTATCTTTAGAAATCATGTCCTCAATTTTATGGTCCTTAGGGCGTAATTAAATTAAGCTAATTACGGTCTCTAATTGCTAGTTTTTATGATTGCATCTGAAATTGTTAGGCGAAAGTAGCCTGCATGCCAAATTTCAGATCTATAGAGCAATCAGAAGTGGGCTAATTTTCGATGTCAATTTTAACAACAAACAAACACACGCGAAGCTGAGTTAATAAAAACGTGTTAAAATAAGCCAGAAATTAACTTTAAACAGCAATGTTTGCGAGCAAGATTTGCTATATAAACAGCAGCCATTTGTAAAATATAGTGGCTTCCCCTGAATTTCGCGCCATTATTTTAAAAAAAACAACAAGATGGCTGCTATAGATCTAGTAAATGAGCATGGTTGCATCTGTTGTAAACATCGCTAGTCTTCATTTATTACTGAAGAAAAGTTTTAATTCAATTGTTTAAAAACAGGTACATAAATGAAACAAGGAAACATTTTTGTATTTTTCAAAACATAAACCCTCCTCAAAATGTGAAATAATTATTAAAATTTAAGGAATTACCTGTTTTTCACATTACTAGCCGCGTGTGATTTTTGCATACTTAAAACGATTGATTACCTAAGTTTTTTTTAGGTAAGGTAGGCCTACGTAAATTTAAATCGGCAGAGGCTAGTAATGTGTGACAAAGTTGCCTCATAGTTAAGGCTTTAATAGAAGTATGTATATTGTGATGTATTTGTGTGAAATATTATCAATAATTGAATAATAAACCAAAATCAATGGCTAAATACTTAAATAATAATCATTAAAAAAGTTTTAAAAAACCCACGTTTTCTGATTGAACTAAAAAGTAGAAAATAAATGCTATACATCACAATAATGCAAGCGATCACTCTACTATAAGCGATGAAAAACGTGGGGCGCCGAAGTAAAAGTTATATTACTATTGATTAGATAGTACTATTGACTTTTATTAGGGAGCTTGTAGAGAGTCAACAGTATTAGAAACTGTAAGAAAATCACGGCGCCCCACGTTTTTCATCGCTTATAGTAGAGTGATCGCTTGCATTATTGTGATGTATAGCATTTATTTTCTACTTTTTAGTTCAATCAGAAAACGTGGGTTTTTTTAAACTTTTTAAATGATTATTATTTTCTACTTTTTAGTCTTTGTCTGTTTGTTTGCATTGAAATCTTGCTATCGATTTTATCTTTTCACTTATTTTTTGGGTAAACGAAGACAACTCGTAAAAAGACAACTCGTAAAAAACACGTTGTGTGAATACGTTACTGACTAGAACACATAGATTTGAACCCGTGTCGAGTGGGTTAGCAATCGTGTGCCAAACCACTCGACCATATCGTCTCCCCCATACTGGCCACCAGTTGTTACGTTCTGGTTGTTTGTAGACAAACACCGCGTGACAACAACTCAGTAAGAAAAAGAAGGAGAGTACCGAACCTTGTTTTCATCAAATTACAGTTACTGGGTTATGTCCCTTTTCCCCCACGTTTTTTGTACAATTATATAGGGGTATAAAATGATCAATAAAATGTTTCCATTGATCAATTTAGTAATAATAACAGTTGAATATTCTATTGTCATCCGAAACAAAGCTTCCCTGAAAATTTCAGCGCGCTAGCTAACTGGGAAGTGCCCGAAATTTCGATCGCAAGATTTGATTGGAAAAACAAACAAACAAACAAACAGAGGCGAAAGCAAGTTAAAGAAAACGTGGGAAAAGATTCTATATTAATACTAAATCAATAGGCCTATAGTAGTATAGGCCAGAAATTAACTTTAAACAGCAGTGTTTGCGAGAAATATTTGCTCAGCAGCCATTTGTAAAATAGAGTGGCTTCCCCTGAATCTCCCGCTATAAGTTTACCAAAAAAAATTTAAACAAGATGGCTGCTGAAGTAAACGAGCTTTGTTGCAACTGACGAAAATATAGCTAGTTATTATTTATTACTGAAAAGTTTTAATAAAATTGTTTAAAACAGGTACATGAATAAAACTTTGAAACATTTTTGTAACTTTCAAAACATAATTACTAAAATTTAATGAGGCACCTTCTTTTCACATTACTATCCTCCGAAGATTTTACGTACATAAAGTGATAGATTACCTAAAAATTTAATGAGTCACCTTTTTTTTCACATTACTAGTAGTTACAAGTAGTTAGTAATAGTCTCGGTCGATTTTACGTACTTAAAACGATAGATAACTTCAAAATGATTAATCTAGGTTAAAAAACATGTCTAATAGAAACAAATTTCTTTTCAATATAGGACATTATGTTTTAAAATTATTATTTTATTACTGAATTCAAAGTTACTAGATCTAGTCTAGTTCTATAAGTCTCTACTACCATAGTCTGTAGGATTTGATGGTAACTTTTGCTAGCAGGTTTAAAGTTATTTAGTTCGTACTCTGTATGGTGGCTAAAGAGGTTAAGGTGGTTTTTTTTGAGGAATTAAAATTCAGGGTTTAATGCGATTATCTTATTGCGAGCTTATAAAATAAGTCATCTTCTATGTTATTTTGATTAAATCCTGGGGGATGGTTGTCAAAATAATTCTTTGAAAATATGCTTTAATTTTAAGTTTGCGGAAGAAGTCATGGACGCTGCTAAGCAGGTTAAATTTATCAGTTGTTGGTCTCAGGGTTATAAATTTCAAGAGGTCAAAGGTCATGTTTGTTTTCTAAAATATTATATAAAATGTTCTGTAAGTGTGAGATAATGTTTCCAGATAAAATTAACTTTTAGCAGACTACATGTTCTAGACATGTATACTAAACATGCAGTAAGTGTAAACGTGGTGTAATAAGACAGTTGTGTCAACAAAGAATGGCTTAAATTAAATTTATAAACTTATCTAGTATCTAGATTTGTATCTAGATATCTTAGTAACATAAGTTTAATTTTACTAAAATTTTTAGTTCAGTTGTAGGCTAAGTTTGTAAACCTAATATGTTTATTTGGGTTACTTCCACTTAATTTTTCAACAAATAAAATATAGCCAAGATCTATCAAGTTATTATTACTATGGGTGATCATCTGGAAGAAGCTAAAGAACGTTCTAAGAAGCGGAAACAACTTCTTGCACAATTTGTAAGTAAAATTTCAGTTGTAAATTGAAATTAAACTAGATTGCCAATTATTACACAATTAGTGACAACTAAACCCACCTTCATTCCCCCCCCCCTCCACCCCCATGATTTATACAAATATGTGTTAACATTTTTTTATCACATTCTCTGTTACAACTTCCCCATATGATAAAAATTGCTTGTATTTGAAATGTATTTGTCTGGGTTTATTAAACAGCACATTATTAATTTGCCATTCAACAAAATGTTTTATCAGGTATTATACACATTTATGAGAGTAAATATTGCTTGAGAGAGCTTTATATATTGTGTTTAGAAGTTGGATCACTCTCTGTCAAGAGGGCTTTATATCTTGGGTTTTAAAAAATTAAAATGTTGTTGTTGCCTGTAATTCACAGTATGGTACAAACAATTTAACAAAGGCATTAAAAACTTATGATGAAGTCAAAACAACAGCTAAAAAAGAAAAAAACAGGTGAGATTTTTAAAATTTGACAGAATTCTAAGCCTCATCACAGTTCTATTGCTATGATAATTGTTTTGTAGAATAGAAAATTTATTACTTTAAAGTATATTATGTTTCAATATTTTTTGTGTGTTGCAAAGTTCTCATGAAGGAACAATGGTTTCATCATCTTGTGTGTCACCGGTCCAGCTCAGCAAAGCCAAGTCTCTTGATGTTAGCCAAATGCTGGTAATGTTGTAATCTGTCTATCTATCTATCTATCTATCTATCTATCTATCTATCTATCTATCTATCTATCTATCTATCTATCTATCTATCTATCTATCTATCTATCTATCTATCTATCTATCTATCTATCAGTGGCGGAACTAGAAAAAAAGGGCCACCCCGCCAAAAAATTTTTTAGCCCCCCCACCCCCACATATATATATATATATATATATATATATATATATATATATATATATATATATATAGGCCTATATATATATATATATATATACATACAATCACAAAATACGAACATAGGATACTCGTTGCTGTCCTGTTCAGGATTTGAAAAACATCAATTAAAAAAAATTTCAACTTCATGTCATGTGTGTAAGTGCATTAGTGTGTTTTGTAAAAATCAGTTTTAATTAATTTTTGATAGAAGCCCTTTTAGTATCTTTTCGGTCAAAATAATATAAAACATGAAAGCTTTGTATAAGTAATGGTGTCTCGTGTTATGTTTATTTTTAAGTTGTTTTTTTTTAATTTATATTATTAATGTTTTAAATATTATTGATTTAATATATTTCAATACAATTTTTTTATTCAATATTATTCTCTAGTAATTAATTATAAAAAAAAATAAATAATTAAGACAAGTAATTGCTTTTTCATTTGTTTAGTACGAATCCATTAAAAGGAGCTTATGATCACCCCTATTTGACTATTTTTAAAAAAAGGGAAATAAGTCATGGAAGTGGTTTGAACATTTGCTTATCTTTGATAAGTTTAATTGTAGGAGAAAGACTCGGCTTTCACAGTTGTTTGAAAAACAAAGGGAAAAGAAGATACAAGAGCTTAGGGTGGTGTCTATAGAAAAAAGATAGTCCAACCGCAGCTACGGTAATTTTTTACAAAACAACCATCAAATCAAAAATGAAAGAAAATTTACTTTTTTTTAAAAAAATTATTATGGTCGACTCTGGGCCCCTAAATAGCGTGGGCCCCCCGCATTGCGGGGTCTGGCGGCACTGTAGTTACGCCCCTGCTATCTATCTATCTATCTATCTATCTATCGATCTATCTATCTATCTATCTATCTATCTATCTATCTATCTATCTATCTATCTATCTATCTCAAAAGCAATGTATGTGTGTGTCTGTCTGTCTTTTATGCATAACTACACCTTTCACCAGACCACCATGAAACTTTGGGAAGTTGTTGAGAATACTCCTAGGGAGGTTTCTGCGGAAAAAAACATTTCAAATTCGCTAGGGTGGCACCACTGCAGGGCACGTTTTGTTTTTTCTCTATATGCGGTATATTTTTAAAAAATCGATTGCGGTTTGACACAATTCATCAGATTGCCTTGAAACTTTGGGGAGTTAATTAGAACGCTACAGGGAAGGGTTCTGCAAAAAAATATTTTTTTTATTTTGCAAGGGCGGCTCCCCAGGAAGGTGCAGTTTGACACTGTTTATCCAAGTGCCGTGAAACTTTGAGGCATTGATGAGAATAGTCCCAAAAGGTTTCTGTGAAAAAAATAATTAAAATTTGATATGGGCGGCGCCCTGGAGGGTGCGATTTTCGTCAATACACAATTTGGTGTCTAGAGGGGTAAGGGGTATTACTATATTCAGCATTAAAACTTCAATAGGCGCAACTGTCTTCCGCCACATGGGCCGCTGAGGGCCCTGTAATAAATTTTTTTTAATAATCAGATAAATTAACCAAGGTTAGATTATTAACTTCTTAACTGGGTTGTTTCCTTTTCTCCATAAAAAAATCCAAACAATTCCAAAGCCTACAGTTCTTGAAATAATGAAAATATTTAGATCTAGAATCTAGCTAATCATGTTGTAATCATGTTGTACTTATTTAATTAAATTAAATTACAAAATTTAGATCTATATTAGATTGAAAAAAATACACCAATAATAAATTTAAAAAAATAGGCCTTATAAATAAAATTGAAATTGTCTCTAAGATCTAGAATCTTGCTCTAAATTTTAATCATTTTATTTAGCAAACAATATTTGAAATTGAAATAGATTGTATGACTAGACTTAGATCTAGAATCTGCTACTTTGATTAAATTTTAAAAGTTTATACTAGCAACTAGTTGATATTTTTGTTGTAGAAGGGTTAAATAAATTACTTAGTCCTGCCTACTTGTATCTGATACTGGACTGAGTTTAGTTGAATTTAGAAGCCGTACTGATTTCCCCTTTGTTTCCCTGCTAGGAGAGATGCTATCTCTGGTTGGCTGAGATATAAGAACAGCAATCCATGTTACCTACAAAGAGATGAAGTTTTATGATAGGTTAGAAAGAAATTGGGGCTGGGTATCAAGGAGGTGAGAAATTTTGAGGGGAGGGCATTGGTACTGATTGCTCTTTGGTGTCCACCTTGCTGGACCTTGGTGGTCATAAATTACATAACATACCATCTCTGCTAGGCTGAGAGCAGCAATCCATGTTACCTACAAAGAGACGAAGTTTTATTATGGTGGGCTAGAAACAGGTAGGGGCTGGGTATCATGTAGGTAAGAAATTCTGAGGGGGAAGCATGTGAATGTGTCTGATCACTTCCCTGCTGCACCATGAAGGTCATAAATTACGTAACATGCTACCCAGATTGGCTGAGATCTAAGGACTGCAGTGGTTGTAGATTAGCAGTTTTATTGGGTTTTTTAGGGGTTTAGTGGTCTCACATTTGATACTGTAGTGTTGATCTATTGCAACTAAATCTTGTACATAACTAGATAATCTAACTAGATCTAGATTTAAATAATCTATATATTACTGCATTTTATGTCAATACAAATATAAGGATATTCAATTCCTAAAAGTTTTTTCTACGTATTGTTCCTGTTCTGCGGTGCGAGGCTTTTAACATATGATGAACACATTTTTAGACACGCCCAGCACTGTGCAACAGCTGATTGTTTACTGGCGGTGTTTACCATCGTGACGGCGGACGTATGTATCACGTGATTTAGGTCACGTGTTTGCAAGGACTCTATTAGTACAATAATAGCATGAGGGGGATTTTCAAACTTCTTGCCTTTAAGCAAAATATTTGCTGTTTACAGTTTGTTGGTTGCATGAATAACTACACATTTTTGACTAGACACTTTATTGAACTCAATATAATATAGAAAGTGCTAAAATTAAATACTTAGATAATATACCATAATATGAATCAAATGTCTCGAAAAGTAAGTAAGTATTGTCAGATTTCATTTTTAAACATTTCTGACGCGACATCAAGTTTCTGGATTTAAAAATTTCAGTTTTGTGATTGAATTTTACAATATGATTCACTTTAAAAAAATGAGTAGCACCCAAAAAAATGTGTTTTTTGTGGTTAAAAAAATGTGTTTTTTGTGGTTTAATTAAATTCAATGTGAAAAGTTCGTGTTCAATGGTTAGCACATTGAAAGTTATGAAAAATAGGGAATTTCTTCGTATAGCAGAGATTTTTCTGGTTAAAAAATTGTGGGAATCCTGAATATAATTAAACTAGCTGCATACCCATGCTCCGCCACAGTGAATCTTTTTTAAATGTACCAACTTGGGAACAGAACAAAACTAAACACAACACAAACACAAAAGAAAACACAAACACAATGCAAACGCAAATGTAAAAAAATATTAAAAAATACAAACGCAACACGTAAACACAAAAGAAAAAACAAGCATAAATAAAATGCAACCAAATGCAAATGCGTAACATAAACACAACTTAAAGGCAAACATAAACACATAGTTCTCACAGTCTAGCCCGGGGCGCTAAATCGCACCCGTCCCAGGTACCAGCAGAACCGCCTGATTCAACTTAGTAAACGACTATAATATCCCAACTTATCCATAAAATAAACAAAAAGCAGTATTTAAAATATCCGTGTTTTACCTACCACAGTGCATTTTATCAATCCATGCTTATTAAAATACTCTAACAATAATGTCCTCTTTCACGTCCACAGATTTTGCATTCACATTTTTTTTATTAGCTTGAGTTAACATGTTTTAGCAATGTGCATTTATTTAATATTTTATTCATGTTATGCGAAAGAGTAAAAACAGTGCCAACTATACATTACAAAAAGTTTTAGTCGTTATATAAATAAACCATACACATCTATTTATGATAAGACACTGTGATGCAAGTAGAAAGCACAACATCTGGTGTGTGTACATTTATGGTTCCAAAATCTATCGCGATGACAGACTGACACACTACCAGCAGCGTTATATAATAGATTTATATATATGAAATTAATATAATTCTTTATTGTCTATATAAGTTTTTACATTCCACACAATAATAAGGTGAGCAGTTGTCTTGTATTTTTTCTTAACAACAGACAATAAAGCGGGAGTAAGCTACCCTAAACTTTCTCATCTATTCACATATAAAAATAAAGGGGACGGCATTTCCAGTGAGTGGCTTTAGAAAAGTTCTTTTTATTGTTTTTTTAATACTAACAATAGAAAAATAGAATAGAACCGAGTAGAAAATAGATTGTGCACCAGTTTTACAAAATTGTGTATAATAGAACAAAATATTAATACTTTATAAATGAAACATAGATAAGATCTTATACCTATGTATAAAATTAGGTCCACCTGTCTGAAATGGTACTTAAATTATCTATATTTTAGAAATCAGAAATAAAGTACAACTTCTGGTTATCGGAGGTTACTCAAAAGATAAACGTGATTCAGTAATAAAATCTTATACTTATATACGAAATTTCATCCTCTTAACTAAAACAGTATTCAAGTTATGCATTAAAATACCACAACTAGTTACCGTAAATTGTTCCCAGTCTGAAATAAATGTGCGCATCCATTGTAATACTTACTTGTGAAGCTTCGTCCACCTACTTTGAACGGTACTTAAGCTAGTGGCTTTACAGAAACTGGAAGTAGAATAAGTACCAGAAATTGTTCAAAATTTGATACAGAACTACCAATTTGTTATAAATATATATAAATGAAATTTCGCTAACATAGTTTTTTCCAACTCATGGAGGTGTTAAACATCAAGATTTGCAATAATACTTCCTCTATACTTTGTATATGAGAAGGTAAAAATCAGTGTGCACCTAAATTTTATTCCTGAATTGTAGAATTTTTATTTGAATAAAAATAAATAAATAATTTTTTCTGATTTAGTAAATATTAAATAATATTTACTTATTTTGTTTAAATTGATTACATTATAACCGGTGATGTAAGTATAATTTTTCGATGAATTAATTTACTTACAAACCAAATTAAAAGATAATTAGCCTAGCCCAGTAGAAAAAGCAAGTTTCTTTTAACTGATTTTTTTATTTTAAATTTAGGACCTGGTAGTTCATCAGGCAGGTGATGTAGAATGTATTGATGAATTTATCCAGATATAATGCGATAAGTTCCATGCTCAGCCGCCTTTGCTTTCCCTAACTTAATATGTACCTGTCAGGTCTGGAAGAGTTGAGGTACATCCTACAGACTTGGGTCTGGTCATTTTTATGCATGACTATGACTTTGTTTTGTAAAATTGAGTTATCTAATTGTAAACAGACACTATATTTTTTTATCACAGCTGTTGGGAGCCAGGTTTGTTTACACCATAGGTGCCCCAGTGTGTGCTGCGTGAAAGCCTTGATTGTAATTTAATAACATAAATAGCAGTGAGGTAATACATACGACCTCCCAGGTGTCAGGGGTGTCACTATCAGGAGTGACCGCTCCACTTCTGTATGGGTGCCCTGCTTTAGTTTACTTACGTGCCACCTTTTCCCTATTGTAAGGTGCCCTTTAAAACAAATGTAGGTGCCATAGTGATCATTAGTAATACTTAGGCATCAAATTGCCTGGCCACTGGATGATGCGCTTGATTCAACTTAGTGAACCATCATAGTAGCCTAATGTATCCATACTGTATCCCACTCTTAAAACGTATATGGGCGTGATATTGCTCATGGAACAGCCTGAGGCGCCTAATCGCACCCTGCTGTAGTTCCGGAGGATGCCCCTGAGATGATTTAGTCAGCAATTATTGTAGTCCACTAAACGGCAAGGGGATGCGCATTAAATCTTGTAATACCCCTAACGGATGCCAAGTGCTAAGATAGGCGTAAAAAAAAATTTCTTACTTTTAATTTTGTATACTATACAGAGTGGAAATGCACCCTGCTGGGACACCTCCATTTCGAATCTAAAAAATATATTTCATAGATTAAACTTTCCCATGAGTATTCTTATTAACTCCTCGAAGTTTCATGGTAATTGGACAAAAGGTGAAGTAATGCATGAAAAACAGACAGACAAATAGACCAACATACTTTAATTTATACTAGCTGACCCGCGACGTAGCATACGCCGCTATCTAGTTGTTTTATTTTCTACTGATCAACAACTCATAATTTGTGAATTCCACACTACCACACCCCCCTGTCTCCCACCCCCACCCCGCCCAGTGAAAACAGCCGTTTACAGATGACAAGCAGAACTTATTATCTCCCCTTAGTTTCAAATTGTTTAAAAACTAAATTATCTGCCCCTAATAGCCGTCACTTATTCGAACTGGCTCTACTATTGTAAACATTCGGGGTGAACCATAGCTCACCTGACAGTGGTATCGATATGCCTAGAAAGCAGGGTAGGGGCGGCTAAGCTGCGTGGTGTCTCATATGGCCCCTATGAACCCTATGAAGATATATATATATATATATATATATATATATATATATATATATATATATATATAAAGTCGATATCCGTAGGGAGGTATTGGGAGAATTTTATCTAACAAACACTGAGCTATATTGATGCTAGCCATACTAATAACATTATAAACTATACTCATGTTAGCTTTACTCTGATTAAATTTGAATGTGAGACTTGACATTTCTAGGAAGGATTAAAAGATGACTATGAGACAGAAGAGGTTTACACAGACTCAAGTGCATTTCTCAAGGTTAGTTTCTTTGGTTAAACTGGGGTTAGCTCTGGTTAGTTTCTTTGGTTAAACTGGGGTTAGCTCTGGTTGGTTTCTTTGGTTAAACTGGGGTTAGCTCTGGTTTCTTTGGTTAAACTGGGGTTAGCTCTGGTTAGTTTCTTTGGTTAAACTGTGGTTAGCTCTGGTTAGTTTCTTTGGTTAAACTGGGGTTAGCTCTAGTTAGCTTCTTTGGTTAAACTGGGGTTAGCTCTGGTTAGTTTCTTTGGTTAAACTGGGGTTAGCTCTGGTTAGTTTCTTTGGTTAAACTGGGGTTAGCTCTGGTTAGTTTCTTTGGTTAAACTGTGGTTTGCTCTGGTTTCTTTGGTTAAACTGGGGTTAGCTCTGGTTTCTTTGGTTAAACTGGGGTTAGCTCTGGTTAGTTTCTTTGGTTAAACTGGGGTTAGCTCTTTTAGTTTCTTTGGTTAAACTGGGGTTAGCTCTGGTTTCTTTGGTTAAACTGGGGTTAGCTCTGGTTTCTTTGGTTAAACTGGGGTTAGCTCTGGTTTCTTTGGTTAAACTGGGGTTAGCTCTGGTTAGTTTCTTTGGTTAAACTGGGGTTAGCTCTGGTAAGTTTGTTTGGTTAAACTGTTGTTAGCTCTGGTTGGTTTCTTTAGTTAAATTGGGTTTAGCAAATGTTAGTTTCTTTAGTTAAACTAGGTTTAGTATAAGTTAGTTTCTTTAGTTAAACTGGGTTTTGCATGATTTAGTTTCTTTAGTTAAACTGGGTTTAGCATATGTTAGTTTTATTTGGTTAAACTGGGTTTAGCATATATTAGTTTTATTTAGTTTACCTGGATTGTACAATAAGTTTCTTTATACTTTGCCATTTGAAGAAATTGTTTGAACTTGTAGGGAACTCAAAGTGCAAACCCACATAATGATTACTGCCAACATTTTGTTGACACTGGAGAGCGGCCACAAAATTTTATTCGAGATGTTGGTAAGTAATATTTTAAATATTAAGCTTTAATTCTTTTTTTACTGTCTGGCTGATTTGGGTTATTTATTTTACATCAATTCGGTTTATAAATTAGCCTGTCGCTTGACCTACTTTTTTTACCATCGTCATGGTAATGATGGCTGCCAAAAACGGCGGTCATTATTTTTGCATATTATTCAACGATACCAGTCTAGTTTAAATAATGGACGATTAGTGTTTGTTGCAAACTTGCCATTTCTACAGTTTTTGGTCTAATCGCTGAGAATATAGCTGAAATACTATTACCACGGTTTTGCACATGAAAGTAAGTATTAAACAGTAAAAAAAGGGTTGAAAACAATTTTAGTTGTCATGGAAACCCAAAAAACCTCCGCCATTTTGAATTTTTCGGTACTTTTAAAAATGCTAAGGCTTTTTTATTTATGCACCTATAGCAATCTAATTTAAACTGCTTATATTTCAGTATATATTAACACTTTTGTCACGACAACTTTTTGATATAGCTACAAGTAAGAATTTTACAAAGTCTAAAAACTGTACCTTTTTAGTATATAAAAGTTTCAAAATTTGCATATTAATTATCAAATACTTTTTTCTATGAAAGCCATCACAATTCCCTGGTGACAAAAGTTAAATTTTTGCATGAAGAACAATTACTGAAAATATGGTGGGCATTGTTTAATTAATAAAAAAGAAGTAGGCTTTTTAGTGTTAAAAACCTGCGAACTGAGAAAAAAGCCAAAAGTAAAGAACAGTAGGTCACGAAAATATCATATCTGTGTAAACTGCAAAGCCAATTGTAAGCTTTGGGCCTTTCCGTGATGATGGAAATTAAGATTATCAAATAATGAGAAATTCAGCTTTTCAATGATGCCAAATACAATATGATGACAAATATAAAACTTTTTATAGAGAGCTTGTAAAATTGGTAAAAATTGGTTATTTATTAATTAATAGGGTCATAAAAGTTGTATTTTAAACACATAAAAAAAAATTTATCTCATTAAAGTTATTGTTTTCTTAATACAGAAATAGCATGCATTTTCGGTAATGGGGAAATTCCTTTAAAAAAATTAAAATACTTATACTTTGACGTTTAAAAATAAAACCTACTAATTTTTCTCTGTACGGGCTACATTCGACTTTTAATATTTAGGCCTAATAATAAACTTTGTCGAAAATATTAAAGCATGAATCAGTAAAACAGGTACACAATACATGTTACTGATTAATAGTAAATTGGTAGTTAAGTTTTGAGAGGTCTATTACATTTTTGTGGATTTCCACAATAGGGGGGAGGGATCCGGCCAAAAGTGGATTCGTGTGGGGGTGTTCGAAATTTTTGTGGACGTCTTAAATAGATGACACCTAAATAAAATTGGTAATAAATTAAAGGTAAATAAATGAATTTTTTAATTGTTTAAGTCATCTTGAACAATAATGAAATTTAAAATCTTGGTTGACACCCTCAAATAAATATCAATAATTTATATATAATCTGGGATGCCGTCTTGAGTAACATAGTTTTCTCACTGCCTAGATTTGCAAACGTAAGAGTTATAAATTGTTGAAACAAAACAACTAAGACTGATAGAAATTGAAAACGCTTACTATTCAAGTTACTTTTTATCCTGGCTGGATCAAGGAAGGCAAACATGATTGTATGCATTACATTATTTATTTCCCTGCTTTTTACGCTCATAAAGAACTGACCATTTATAATGTGCGTCATTTTATTAGCCCACCCCTAGTTTACTATTAATATGAATCAAAGATTTAAATATATATTTATAAAAGTATGTTTGCCTGTATGTAGGTTTGTTTGTCTTTTATGCGTTACAAGTTGTTTAGAATACTTGTGGGTAGGTTTTTGCAAGAACAAGAAAAGAATTTAAAATTTTGAAGGGGTGGTGACCTGGCAGGTTGTGATTTGTTCTCAAGACTTTCCCATCTTCATTTTAAAGTGTTCTGTCTACCTCATTATTATGGAGGGTAATTAACATACACTCAAGGCTCTCATACAGTGTGTCCTGGTGGATTCGTGCGCTAGTGTGGACAGATCCTTGCCCCCAACACCTGAAATCCAAGCATCTGCAATTTTTACATTTTAATAATTCAATTTTAGAAAACAAGTTCATGCATCTAAACATCCATAATTAATTAAGTATTGATTAAATCCTCTTTGCCACAGCTAAGCATGGGATATGTATGCTAGTATGTGTGTGCATGTATGTATGTACACACATATATATATATGTATGTATATATATATATATATATATATATATATATATATATATATACATACTAGCGTGCCCATCCCAGTTTGTTGCTGCTGTCTCAGAAGAAAGTCTGACGCAATATTTTAAGAGGGTTTCATCAATATGTTACCAACCCTGTATTCTTAAACATCTGGTCTTGTTTTCTAAAACTAAGTTATTTTAAATGTAAACAATGTCTGCGCTATATTTCTTGGATATTTGTCGGGGCATTGGTTTGCCCACACTACTGTCTAGCACACCTTGTGGCGTGCTGTATGAAAGCCTTGATTGCATGTTAATCACTCTCCGTAATAGTGAGAGATAGAACACCTTTTGGTGACAGCCCATGTGTTAGGGCTGTAGAAACCCTGGGTAGCCGCCAGTTGCACTACCAGGCAGGGGGAGCCACCGGTTGCACTACCAGCACCAGTTACACTACCAGGCAGGGGGAGCCACCGGTTGCACTACCAGGCAGGGGGAGCCACCGGTTGCACTACCAGGCAGGGGGAGCCACCGGTTGCACTACCAGGCAGGGGGAGCCGCTGGTTGCACTACCAGGCAGGCACTGCGTATGGCTCCTGTCACTGTTTAATCATCAAATGTGGCAAACAAGAGCACCCATGACATCAGGACAGTCGCCTAGGTGTGTTTTACCTCAATATATGAGGGTGATTAACATCCACTAATGGTGTTCATTCAGCACACAAGTTAAAATAAAAAATGCAGACGATGTCATTTGAATGTTATAATTATGAAGCCTGTCATTGAGTTTCCTTTCTTCTGGGAAGAACAGGCACACGTGATTGGCAAGCTATGTTGTGTGCAATCTTCTGGTACAGTTTCTTATATTTTTTCATTCATTTTTTTCCCCTTAGGGGTCATCCATTTATGACCTCCACACGAGGGGGGAGGGGTATTCATCCATCTATATCTATATATCTATATATATCTATATATATATGTATGTATATATATATATATATATATATATATATATATATATATATATATATATATATATATATATAATTCTCTTCTGGGAGACGCTAGAAAACAAGCTGTAAGCGCGCTCCCTACCACCCCACCCCTACATGGTCTGGTGAGCTTTGGTTCACTCTAAATGTTTACATTCGTAGAGCCGGGTTTAGTGACGGCTATTAGGGGCAGATAATTTAGTTTGAAACGATTTTAAAATTAGGGGAGGTAACTAAGAAGAGGAGGGTAGGGGTAGTATCGTTCTTAACGACCTACTGATAGTGTTTAGCAAATATTTTCAGTGGCAGCATTGGTACTGTCGAATTCAAAAATTATGAATTACTGAAAGGGTAGAAAATAAAACAACTTAATAGCGGCGTATGATACGCCGCGGGTCGGCTCGTATGTTGACTTTAACATCAAAATACTTACATTTTAAAAAATTCAAAAAAATAAAAAACAATATAAAATGTATTATTTCAGCTGTTCTTGTGTTTAAAAAAACATCAGCTCAATGGGTGAACAAATGTATCAGAGATGTTACTGTGTACTGCCCGACTAAGAAAAAAGCAGCAATTTTTTACAAGCGGGAAAGGGGAGGGATATTGACCACGGCAATTTTCTGAAACAATTTATGGTATTTGAAGTTTATTTTTAAACGATTCAAAGAATTGAAACATAAGTTTAAAAACAATAAGATCTAGACCAAGGACCTGATAGATTCTTGCAACCAATCATGGTAGGCCTGGACCTGATAGATTCTTACAACCAATCATGGTAGGCCTTCATTATTTTTTTTTCAAGTAACAATTTCAAAATATCACGTTTTAAAAATTAGAAATTTAACTAAGGCGCTTGTAGATTGTGCTTGCACGGTCAGGTGTGTAGGGCTCACGTGGTCAGGTGTGTAGGGCTCACGTGGTCAGGTGTGTAGGGCTCACGTGGTCAGGTGTGTAGGGCTCACGTGGTCAGGTGTGTAGGGCTCACGTGGTCAGGTGTGTAGGGCTCATGTGGTCAGGTGTGTAGGGCTCATGTGGTCAGGTGTGTAGGGCTCATGTGGTCAGGTGTGTAGGGCTCATGTGGTCAGGTGTGTAGGGCTCATGTGGTCAGGTGTGTAGGGCTCATGTGGTCAGGTGTGTAGGGCTCACGTGGTCAGGTGTGTAGGGCTCACGTGGTCAGGTGTGTAGGGCTCACGTGGTCAGGTGTGTAGGGCTCACGTGGTCAGGTGTGTAGGGCTCATGTGGTCAGGTGTGTTGGGCTCACATGGTCAGGTGTGTAGAGCTCACGTGATCAGGTGTGTAGGGCTCACGTGGTCAGGTGTGTAGGGCTCACATGGTCAGGTGTATAGGGCTCATGTGGTCAGGTGTATAGGGCTCATGTGGTCAGGTGTGTAGGGCTCATGTGGTCAGGTGTGAAGGGCTCACGAGAAAAGGGGGAGATGTGGTGTGTAGGGCTCATGTGGTCAGGTGTGTTGGGCTCATGTGGTCAGGTGTGTAGGGCTCATGTGGTCAGGTGTGTAAGGCTCACGTGGTCAGGTGTGTAGGGCTCATGTGGTCAGGTGTGTAGGGCTCATGTGGTCAGGTGTGTAGGGCTCATGTGGTCAGGTATGTAGGGCTCATGTGGTCAGGTGTGTAGGGCTCACGTGGTCAGGTGTGTAGGGCTCACGTGGTCAGGTGTGTAGGGCTCACGTGGTCAGGTGTGTAGGGCTCATGTGGTCAGGTGTGTAGGGCTCATGTGGTCAGGTGTGTAGGGCTCATGTGGTCAGGTGTGTAGGGCTCACGTGGTCAGGTGTATAGGGCTCATGTGGTCAGGTGTATAGGGTTCATGTGGTCAGGTGTGAAGGGCTCACGAGAAAAGGGGGAGATGTGGTGTGTTTTGGAAATATGTGAGATCAGTGTCCGTAAGGTTTAGGAAAAGTAAAATGATATAATTAGACGATGTAATTAGACAATGTAATTAGGCAATGTAATTAGACGAATTTTAGTCATGAATAGCGAGACAGCCACAATTGACAGCCACAAATTACATCAAATAGTCCAACCTGTTTAATTAAAAATATTTTATGACTTTCTCCAACCTCCGACTACCTTAAAAAAAATAGTTTATAAAATCAAGAGGTACAGAGTGTCCATGCATAATCTCTTTCAATAAAATTCCAGACTTTACAGTTGTTTATTATGACAATGTAAAATGTTATGTCCTCTCACATGATACTATTCTGATATTTCATTTTGGTATATAGTTTGCCAAGAGACGGGAAGTAACAGGCAGTTTTCTTTTAAATCATTTGACTTTGATGCTTTTTATATTTGTGTAGCAAAGCGTTTTATTGTGGAATGGCAGATGATGTGTAGGTTACTTTGTAGAATCACATCAAAGTGTAAGCGCTGCTATTTAGATAGTAGCTATATTTTTTCTTGAAACATTTTGTGAAGAAACAAACACATTTCTGCATTAACATTTGAATTTAACAATAGCTGGAGCAAAGCCTAGCCGATAAGGCTAGTATTTACATATTTATATGTAGCATGTACATTGTCTTAAATAATCTGCAGAAAGTTTGGCTATTTAAAGTTGTTTCAATTCAAACATAAGGTTGGGAAGAAATATAAAGTAATACATAATCTAATGTTCAAATTTTGTGTATACAAAAAATAAAAAGTAATCCATAATGTAATGTTCAAATTTTGGATAGACAAAAAATATAAAATAATATATAATCTAATGTTCAAATTTTGGATAGACAAAAAATATAAAATAATACATAGTCTAATGTTCAAATTTTAGACAAAAAACTAATTCCATGACCTTCATTAATTTGTTCCTTTGACCTCCAGGTCTTGCCAACAGGTTTGAGGAATATCCAAAACTTCGAGAACTAATTCGACTGAAAGATGAACTGATAGAAAAAACCAATACACCACCAATGTAAGTAAATGACATCAGATAGACCACCAATGTAAGTAAATTACATCAGATACACCACCAATGTAAGTAAATGACATCAGATACACCACCAATGTAAGTAAATTACATCAGATACACCACCAATGTAAGTAAATTACATCAGATACACCACCAATGTAAGTAAATTACATCAGATACACCACCAATGTAAGTAAATTACATACACCGCCAATGTAAGCAAATTAGATACACCGCCAATGTAAGTAAATGACATCAGATACACCACCAATGTAAGTAAATTAAATACACCACCAATGTAAGTAAATGACATCAGATACACCACCAATGTAAGTAAATTAGATACACCACCAATGTAAGTAAATTAGATACACCACCAATGTAAGTAAATTAGATACACCACCAATGTAAGTAAATTACATCAGATACACCACCAATGTAAGTAAATTACATCAGATACACCACCAATGTAAGTAAATGACATTAGATACACCACCAATGTAAGTAAATTACATCAGATACACCACCAATGTAAGTAAATTACATCAGATACAAGACCAATGTAAGTAAATTACATACACCACCAATGTAAGTAAATTAGATACACCACCAATGTAAGTAAATTACATCAGATACACCACCAATGTAAGTAAATTACATCAGATACACCACCAATGTAAGTAAATTAAATACACCACCAATGTAAGTAAATTAGATACACCACCAATGTAAGTAAGTTAGATACACCACCAATGTAAGTAAATGACATTAGATACACCACCAATGTAAGTAAATTAGATACACCACCAATGTAAGTAAATGACATCAGATACACCACCAATGTAAGTAAATTACATCAGATACACCACCAATGTAAGTAAATTAGATACACCACCAATGTAAGTAAATTAGATACACCACCAATGTAAGTAAATTAGATACACCACCAATGTAAGTAAATTAGATACACCACCAATGTAAGTAAATTAGATACACCACCAATGTAAGTAAATTAGATACACCACCAATGTAAGTAAATTAGATACACCACCAATGTAAGTAAATGACATCAGATACACCACCAATGTAAGTAAATGACATCAGATACACCACCAATGTAAGTAAATTACATCAGATACACCACCAATGTAAGTAAATTAGATACACCACCAATGTAAGTAAATTAAATACACCACCAATGTAAGTAAATGACATCAGATACACCACCAATGTAAGTAAATTAGATACACCACCAATGTAAGTAAATTAAATACACCACCAATGTAAGTAAATGACATCAGATACACCACCAATGTAAGTAAATTAGATACACCACCAATGTAAGTAAATTAGATACACCACCAATGTAAGTAAATTAGATACACCACCAATGTAAGTAAATTACATCAGATACACCACCAATGTAAGTAAATGACATTAGATACACCACCAATGTAAGTAAATTACATCAGATACACCACCAATGTAAGTAAATTACATCAGATACACCACCAATGTAAGTAAATTACATACACCACCAATGTAAGTAAATTAGATACACCACCAATGTAAGTAAATTACATCAGATACACCACCAATGTAAGTAAATTACATCAGATACACCACCAATGTAAGTAAATTACATCAGATACACCACCAATGTAAGTAAATTAAATACACCACCAATGTAAGTAAATTAGATACACCACCAATGTAAGTAAGTTAGATACACCACCAATGTAAGTAAATGACATTAGATACACCACCGATGTAAGTAAATTAGATACACCACCAATGTAAGTAAATTACATCAGATACACCACCAATGTAAGTAAATTAGATACACCACCAATGTAAGTAAATGACATCAGATACACCACCAATGTAAGTAAATTAGATACACCACCAATGTAAGTAAATTACATCAGATACACCACCAATGTAAGTAAATTAGATACACCACCAATGTAAGTAAATGACATCAGATACACCACCAATGTAAGTAAATTACATCAGATACACCACCAATGTAAGTAAATTAGATACACCACCAATGTAAGTAAATTAGATACACCACCAATGTAAGTAAATTAGATACACCACCAATGTAAGTAAATTAGATACACCACCAATGTAAGTAAATTAGATACACCACCAATGTAAGTAAATTACATCAGATACACCACCAATGTAAGTAAATGACATCAGGCACTAAATCTGTTAAACAACAGTAGTGGGTTCAAGTCTAATACTGAGGTCTGTGTAAAGAGGGTGTCTTCACAAACCACAAACAGGGTGTCTTCACAAACAGGGTGTCTTCACAAACAGGGTGTCTCCACAAACAGGGTGTCTTCACAAACAGGGTGTCTTCACAAACCACAAACAGGGTGTCTTCACAAACCACAAACAGGGTGTCTTCACAAACAGGGTGTCTTCACAAACAGGGTGTCTTCACAAACAGGGTGTCTTCACAAACAGGGTGTCTTCACAAACAGGGTGTCTTCACAAACAGGGTGTCTTCACAAACCACAAACAGGGTGTCTTCACAAACCACAAACAGGGTGTCTTCACAAACAGGGTGTCTTCACAAACAGGGTGTCTTCACAAACCACAAACAGGGTGTCTTCACAAACCACAAACAGGGTGTCTTCACAAACAGGGTGTCTTCACAAACAGGGTGTCTTCACAAACCACAAACAGGGTTTCTTCACAAACCACAAACAGGGTGTCTTCACAAACAGGGTGTCTTCACAAACCACAAACAGGGTGTCTTCACAAACAGGGTGTCTTCACAAACCACAAACAGGGTGTCTTCACAAACCACAAACAGGGTGTCTTCACAAACAGGGTGTCTTCACAAACCACAAACAGGGTGTCTTCACAAACAGGGTGTCTTCACAAACCACAAACAGGGTGTCTTCACAAACCACAAACAGGGTGTCTTCACAAACAGGGTGTCTTCACAAACCACAAACAGGGTGTCTTCACAAACCACAAACAGGATGTCTTCACAAACCACAAACAGGGTGTCTTCACAAACCACAAACAGGGTTTCTTCACAAACAGGGTTTCTTCACAAACAGGGTGTCTTCACAAACAGGGTGTCTTCACAAACAGGGTGTCTTCACAAACAGGGTGTCTTCACAAACAGGGTGTCTTCACAAACAGGGTGTCTTCACAATTAGAATATTTGTACAAATAGGACTATTGATCAGACACTTGATGGCCTCTAACACTGGGCACTAGGACGTGTGGCCCTACAAAATGTTTTTGTGTTTCTTGAAAATAAAAAAAGTAGATGACTTCAAACTTTGTGAGATAATAAAATTGATCCTATGTGATGATAGCGCTAATGAAAGTGAGGAAAAATTGTATTGTGACCTGCTGCTGTCTGTTCAACACATCTCGTGTGCTGGTACACGCAAGATTTTAGACTCAATGTGAACAACACATCCAAGCAATTCCACTTCTATTGGCCCAACTAGACTTGGTACCATTCCACTTCTATTGGCCAAACTAGACTTGGTAACATTCCACTTCTATTGGCCCAACTAGACTTGGTACCATTCCACTTCTAATGGCCCAACTAGACTTGGTACCATTCCACTTCTAATGGCCCAACTAGACTTGGTACCATTCCACTTCTATTGGCCAAACTAGACTTGGTACCATTCCACTTCTATTGGCCCAACTAGACTTGGTACCATTCCACTTCTAATGGCCCAACTAGACTTGGTACCATTCCACTTCTAATGGCCCAACTAGACTTGGTACCATTCCACTTCTATTGGCCCAACTAGACTTGGTACCATTCCACTTCTATTGGCCCAACTAGACTTGGTACCATTCCACTTCTATTGGCCCAAAACAATGGGGTTTTTGTAATTTGTTAAATCTTTTTTCTTCTTCTTTGTGATTGTGTATTGCCCACTGAATAAGGAAGTAGGCATACAAGAGCTTCTGATCTTTAAACTAATAATACATTGGTGCCTAGAAATAGGCTTGCTTTTATGGCAAATTGTTTGCTGCTGAAAAAGCACTTTTCTATATAGACATGTAGTAAACCCCATTAATCAGTTCCATATCCAGTTTTTTATGTGTTTTTTATAAGAAAACTGAATTTGAAAATGATAAATGACTATAAAAACACAATACAATAAAAGATTAGAAGATCAACTGGTTTTATAAAGTGCATATACTTTTGAAACCAGTAAAACAGATAGCTATCATAGGTGTTGGGGTGAGATTAGCTTGAGCTTAAGGAAGATATTAGCCTAGGTGTAGGGGTGAGATTAGCTTGAGCTTAAGTAAGATGTTAGCCTAGGTGTAGGGGTGTAGGGGTGAGATTAGCTTAAGCTTAAGGAAGATGTTAGCCTAGGTGTAGGGGTGAGATTAGCTTAAGCTTAAGGAAGATATTAGCCTAGGTGTAGGGGTGAGATTAGCTTAAGCTTAAGGAAGATATTAGCCTAGGTGTAGGGGTGAGATTAGCTCAAGCTTAAGGAAGATGTTAGCCTAGGTGTAGGGGTGAGATTAGCTCAAGCTTAAGGAAGATGTTAGCCTAGGTGTAGGGGTGAGATTAGCTTGAGCTTAAGGAAGATGTTAGCCTAGGTGTAGGGGTGAGATTAGCTTGAGCTTAAGGAAGATATTAGCCTAGGTGTAGGGGTGAGATTAGCTTGAGCTTAAGGAAGATGTTAGCCTAGATGTAGGGGTGAGATTAGCTTGAGCTTAAGGAAGATGTTAGCCTAGGTGAAAGGGGAAAGGGTGGGAGGCGCTTCACTTGATTACACTGTTAATGTTACACTGTTAATGTTTAACTCTTTCGGTAACGTTTACTGACTTACCTTAACTTGACTTGATGTACAATTTTTTCTTACTTTTATCAGTACGCTTTGATTCCTTTGATTGACCTGTTCCAAGTTCTCTTTATCTCAAATTTTACTCTCACATCAAAAGAAAATATTTCAAAACTTTCATTTGTTAGGCTCTGGTAAGTTGAGGTACCACAGTATTTTATTTCATTGGAAAGGCATCTTTCCAGCATAGTATGCTTGCTTGATGATATACCTGCTCCAATATGCTTGGCAAAAAAAAAAAAGGGTAAATCACACCTACCAAGAAAGTTAAAGGTTCAAAAATTAAACCCATCATCTGTGAATTACTTATTTTGCATCATCCAAGGTATTTTCTTTCAACAACTTCTGACTCTTTTTTAATAATAAAAAATAATAAAAAAAACAGCTGTAAATTACCTTTAAAATAAAATCTTTTTATATTTTTCTCCTGCTGCATTAAAGTGGAAGTATTTTTACATGAATTTGAATAATCAGTTTCTAAAATAGTCACCTCATTGCTTTTCTTTTATGGAAGTTTTGATGATTGTTTTATGTTGGTATATTCATTTTCAGGTATCTGCAAGCCGATTTGGAGTATTTTGAACTAAGAAATTTAAAATGTAAGTTTGATGTGATCCTGGTGGAGCCACCTCTGGAGGAGTATCAGAGAACACAGGGGGCTGTCTTTGACAAGTACTGGGACTGGGACGAGGTAAGGCCACTTGGGTTCTAGTCAATTTAGCCATGTGTTTTTGTATGCTTTCATTTAGCTTCAATGTGGGTCTAAAACTGGTTTGAAGAATAGTTATTTACAGGACTGTCTGGGTAACAACTAGAATCAAAGTCTCCACCCCATCAAATCAAAGTCTCCACCCCATCAAATCAAGGTCCCCACCCCATCAAATCAAGGTCTCCACCCCATCAAATCAAGGTCCCCACCCCATCAAATCAAGGTCTCCACCCCATCAAATCAAGGTCTCCACCCCATCAAATCAAGGTCCCCACCCCATCAAATCAAGGTCTCCACTCACTCCATCAAATCAAGGTCCCCACCCCATCAAATCAAAGTCTCCACCCCATCAAATCAAGGTCTCCACTCACCCCATCAAATCAAGGTCCCCACCCCATCAAATCAAGGTCCCCACCCCATCAAATCAAGGTCCCCACCCCATCAAATCAAGGTCCCCACCCCATCAAATCAAGGTCCCCACCCCATCAAATCAAGGTCCCCACCCCATCAAATCAAAGTCTCCACCCCATCAAATCAAGGTCTCCACCCCATCAAATCAAGGTCTCCACCCCATCAAATCAAGGTCCCCACCCCATCAAATCAAGGTCCCCACCCCATCAAATCAAGGTCCCCACCCCATCAAATCAAGGTCCCCACCCCATCAAATCAAGGTCCCCACCCCATCAAATCAAGGTCCCCACCCCATCAAATCAAAGTCTCCACCCCATCAAATCAAGGTCTCCACCCCATCAAATCAAGGTCCCCACCCCATCAAATCAAGGTCCCCACCCCATCAAATCAAGGTCCCCACCCCATCAAATCAAGGTCCCCACCCCATCAAATCAAGGTCTCCACCCCATCAAATCAAGGTCCCCACCCCATCAAATCAAGGTCCCCACCCCATCAAATCAAGGTCCCCACCCCATCAAATCAAGGTCCCCACCCCATCAAATCAAGGTCCCCACCCCATCAAATCAAGGTCCCCACCCCATCAAATCAAGGTCCCCACCCCATCAAATCAAGGTCCCCACCCCATCAAATCAAGGTCCCCACTCCATCAAATCAAGGTCTCCACTCACCCCATCAAATCAAGGTCTCCACTCACCCCATCAAATCAAGGTCCCCACTCACCCCATCAAATCAAGGTCCCCACTCCATCAAATCAAGGTCTCCACTCACCCCATCAAATCAAGGTCCCCACCCCATCAAATCAAGGTCCCCACCCCATCAAATCAAGGTCTCCACCCCATCAAATCAAGGTCCCCACTCACCCCTTGTCCCCACTCACCCCATCAAATCAAGGTCTCCACCCCATCAAATTAAGGTCCCCACCCCATCAAATCAAGGTCTCCACTCACCCCATCAAATCAAGGTCTCCACTCACCCCATCAAGGTCTCCACCCCATCAAATCAAGGTCCCCACCCCATCAAATCAAGGTCTCCACTCACCCCATCAAATCAAGGTCCCCACCCCATCAAATCAAGGTCCCCACCCCATCAAATCAAGGTCCCCACCCCATCAAATCAAGGTCTCCACTCACCCCATCAAGGTCCCCACCCCATCAAATCAAGGTCCCCACCCCATCAAATCAAGGTCCCCACCCCATCAAATCAAGGTCCCCACCCCATCAAATCAAGGTCTCCACTCACCCCATCAAATCAAGGTCCCCACCCCATCAAATCAAGGTCTCCACTCACCCCATCAAATCAAGGTCTCCACTCACTCCATCAAATCAAGGTCTCCACTCACCCCATCAAATCAAGGTCTCCACTCACCCCATCAAATCAATGTCCCCACCCCATCAAATCAAGGTCCCCACCCCATCAAATCAAGGTCTCCACCCCTTCAAATCAAGGTCTCCACTCACCCCATCAAATCAAGGTCTCCACTCACTCCATCAAATCAAGGTCTCCACTCACCCCATCAAATCAAGGTCCCCACCCCATCAAATCAAGGTCCCCACCCCATCAAATCAAGGTCTCCACCCCTTCAAATCAAGGTCTCCACTCACCCCATCAAATCAAGGTCTCCACTCACTCCATCAAATCAAGGTCTCCACTCACCCCATCAAATCAATGTCCCCACCCCATCAAATCAAGGTCCCCACCCCATCAAATCAAGGTCTCCACCCCTTCAAATCAAGGTCTCCACCCCATCAAATTAAGGTCCCCACCCCATCAAATCAAGGTCTCCACCCCATCAAATCAAGGTCTCCACTCACCCCATCAAATCAAGGTCTCCACTCACTCCATCAAATCAAGGTCTCCACTCACCCCATCAAATCAAGGTCCCCACTCCATCAAATCAAGGTCCCCACCCCATCAAATCAAGGTCTCCACCCCTTCAAATCAAGGTCTCCACTCACCCCATCAAATCAAGGTCTCCACTCACTCCATCAAATCAAGGTCTCCACTCACCCCATCAAATCAAGGTCCCCACTCCATCAAATCAAGGTCCCCACCCCATCAAATCAAGGTCCCCACCCCATCAAATCAAGGTCCCCACCCCATCAAATCAAGGTCTCCACCCCTTCAAATCAAGGTCTCCACTCACCCCATCAAATCAAGGTCTCCACTCACTCCATCAAATCAAGGTCTCCACTCACCCCATCAAATCAAGGTCCCCACTCCATCAAATCAAGGTCCCCACCCCATCAAATCAAGGTCTCCACTCACCCCATCAAATCAAGGTCTCCACTCACTCCATCAAATCAAGGTCTCCACTCACCCCATCAAATCAAGGTCCCCACTCCATCAAATCAAGGTCCCCACCCCATCAAATCAAGGTCTCCACTCACCCCATCAAATCAAGGTCTCCACCCCATCAAATCAACGTCTCCACTCACCCCATCAAATCAAGGTCCCCACCCCATCAAATCAAGGTCTCCACTCACCCCATCAAATCAAGGTCTCCACCCCATCAAATCAACGTCTCCACTCACCCCATCAAATCAAGGTCCCCACCCCATCAAATCAAGGTCCCCACCCCATCAAATCAAGGTCTCCACCCCATCAAATCAAGGTCCCCACCCCATCAAATCAAGGTCTCCACCCCATCAAATCAAGGTCTCCACCCCATCAAATCAAGGTCTCCACTCACCCCATCAAATCAAGGTCTCCACTCACCCCATCAAGGTCTCCACTCACCCCATCAAATCAAGGTCTCCAACCCATCAAATCAAGGTCTCCACCCCATCAAATCAAGGTCTCCACTCACCCCATCAAATCAAGGTCTCCACTCACCCCATCAAATCAAGGTCTCCACCCCATCAAATCAAGGTCTCCACCCCATCAAATCAAGGTCTCCACTCACCCCATCAAATCAAGGTCCCCACTCACCCCATCAAGGTCTCCACTCACCCCATCAAATCAAGGTCTCCAACCCATCAAATCAAGGTCTCCACCCCATCAAATCAAGGTCTCCACTCACCCCATCAAGGTCTCCACCCCATCAAATCAAGGTCTCCACTCACCCCATCAAATCAAGGTCTCCACTCACCCCATCAAGGTCTCCACTCACCCCATCAAATCAAGGTCTCCAACCCATCAAATCAAGGTCTCCACCCCATCAAATCAAGGTCTCCACTCACCCCATCAAGGTCTCCACCCCATCAAATCAAGGTCTCCACTCACCCCATCAAGGTCTCCACTCACCCCATCAAATCAAGGTCTCCACTCACTCCATCAAATCAAGGTCCCCACCCCATCAAATCAAGGTCTCCACCCCATCAAATCAAGGTCCCCACCCCATCAAATTAAGGTCTCCACCCCATCAAATCAAGGTCCCCACCCCATCAAATCAAGGTCTCCACTCACCCCATCAAATCAAGGTCTCCACCCCATCAAATCAAGGTCCCCACCCCATCAAATCAAGGTCTCCACCCCATCAAATCAAGGTCTCCACTCACCCCATCAAATCAAGGTCTCCACTCACCCCATCAAGGTCTCCACTCACCCCATCAAATCAAGGTCTCCAACCCATCAAATCAAGGTCTCCACCCCATCAAATCAAGGTCTCCACTCACCCCATCAAGGTCTCCACCCCATCAAATCAAGGTCTCCACCCCATCAAATCAAGGTCCCCACCCCATCAAATCAAGGTCCCCACCCCATCAAGGTCTCCACCCCATCAAATTAAGGACCCCACCCCATCAAATCAAGGTCCCCACCCCATCAAATCAAGGTCTCCACCCCATCAAATCAAGGTCCCCACCCCATCAAATTAAGGTCTCCACCCCATCAAATCAAGGTCCCCACCCCATCAAATCAAGGTCTCCACTCACCCCATCAAATCAAGGTCTCCACCCCATCAAATCAAGGTCCCCACCCCATCAAATCAAGGTCTCCACCCCATCAAATCAAGGTCTCCACTCACCCCATCAAATCAAGGTCTCCACTCACCCCATCAAGGTCTCCACTCACCCCATCAAATCAAGGTCTCCAACCCATCAAATCAAGGTCTCCACCCCATCAAATCAAGGTCTCCACTCACCCCATCAAGGTCTCCACCCCATCAAATCAAGGACCCCACCCCATCAAATCAAGGTCTCCACCCCATCAAATCAAGGTCCCCACCCCATCAAATCAAGGTCCCCACTCCATCAAATCAAGGTCCCCACCCCATCAAATCAAGGTCCCCACCCCATCAAATTAAGGTCTCCACCCCATCAAATCAAGGTCTCCACTCACCCCATCAAATCAAGGTCCCCACTCACTCCATCAAATCAAGGTCTCCACTCACCCCATCAAATCAAGGTCCCCACTCCATCAAATCAAGGTCTCCACTCACCCCATCAAATCAAGGTCCCCACCCCATCAAATCAAGGTCTCCACTCACCCCATCAAATCAAGGTCTCCACTCACCCCATCAAATCAAGGTCTCCACCCCATCAAATCAAGGTCCCCACCCCATCAAATTAAGGTCTCCACCCCATCAAATCAATCAAGGTCCCCACTCCATCAAATCAAGGTCTCCACTCACC